CCTAAGAATTTTTTTCTTTCTCCCTCGTTTGGTGTGCGACACAATCAAAATGTAGCTGCAGTAAGGGCACAGTCTAGCTCGACGGCGCCGCTTTTTGAATGCGTTCGGACAGGATTCGGTACTACCCAACATGTTGGGTCGTACAACTAAAGTATTCTTTGCTTTGCCGTAGAATCCGATCTGGTAAATAAATGCGGAGGGAATCTGCATGTAAAACTACTCCAACGAAATGAAAGCGCCCATGCGGCACGGCTCGCCAGTAGGGTCAGTGAGGTATCCTCCAGAAGGAGTTACTACGTTAGGTACGCTTGCTGACATTATATATCGCAATCCTTCCTTGGACCCCATCTTGAGACTCTCAGTTCATATAGGCTACTTTATCTATTCCATACAACGTAGAGTAGGTTAGCACGCTTATGCTCTATTTCAACATACACACGTCTAAATTTGACGCTCGTTGATAAATCTTATTGGTTGTCAACCAACCCATTGCTAACCTACACCGCTTTGAGTAATCATCTACTCCAACGCCAATGGACGGTTTTGAATGGCTCCCGAAAGAGGGTTACATACGTTGGATCCTGCGTCGCCTTTCTACTGGCTAGCCGCGCCATAGACAGACGTTAAGAGACTACTATGCGAGTGGTGAATTATATGGCAAGGCTGCTTACTCCGTAAGCCGTTGTCGAATGTGACTGTTGGTAGACGAGCAAAATTAGCACAACATCTACCAGCCAGAACACTGAAAACACATTCCTTTATCAGCAGTTGGAACTACACAGATAGCCAAGAGTCTAGTATCATATAGGATGGAGCCATGTCAGCTATGAAGGAGCCGAGCTTCGCAGTTCTAGCCATCACCGTTATGGATTCGCCACTCGCGGTTGGTCTCCTAACTAAGGTTAAGTCAACTCCCGTAGAACACACGTAAGAGCGCCGCCTATGACACCAGTTTAACTTATGAGGAGAGCATGACCGTTTAGAAGATATTAACTGCCTATCTTACTCGCATCCAATCCTACGAGCCGAATATACTACCACATGGCGCGGTTCCTTAAAAGAAACCTAGTACAGGACATTGGTTACTATGATCCCTTTTTACGATCAGGCACATTCCTGATTATGGTCGTGCTCTCGATGCGGTGAAACCTGAGAAGCAAGTGCCTGCTGACGCCATCCCCTAAATCCACTACGCATTATTTATCGTGCTATATATACATATACATTATGTTATGGTTATCATCGGTTCCTACGTAGAGAGTTTAATTCTACAAGCTTATCGCGAGATGTCCAGAGTAAATCCTAAACGCCTTTGCCGCGCCTTGGGTAACCAACCGGCTTATAGAGTATTCTCAGAAAGGGTGTCACACCAAGAAGTCCTTTCGACACGTTGCTTGTTGTCAGTGGTCGTTCTGATCTGTGGCTTATCAAATTTTCTGCTTCCTTTCCCCAGATTGTCGATGTAGATGGTATCACGGGTACACAGAGATCGAGTAGAAACGCCATCACGTTAGGTGTTCGTATGTATGCTTGCTTGCTTTTGGAATTATCAGGATCAGGATTGGAGATAAGCAGCAGTTCGTCTACCTAATCCCACAACGCGGTCGTCATCGGAGTTCTGACTGGTCGAAATGGGTTGTCTATGACAAAGAACTCTAGTCCCAATAGTTTAATACTGTCAGGTTACTAATGACGTAGGGGGGCGTACGGCAGACTACGACTTATGGGAATCAGTGTACATACGACCCACCATGGCCTAAAGTCCCTCTATGATATATACTAGTTATCATTTGGATGACTAGGACAAAGACATGATATTGTGTAGATCACACCGGGTATCTACTGGTAATATCAGAATCTACAAACCCGCTAGCAGTCGGAAGACGAGAATTCATTGTCTTCATCTTCGCCTCCTGTTATATGTGATATCACGTAATTAGAGGTACGGACGTATCACCAGGCCCTACGTCGTTATTATCGTTCTGGCGTAAGGCATTAACCTAGGGGGTTGAAAAGTCCGACGGAAGCCACTTTTCCGCACACAGTATTATATATCTTAATAACAAGTGGCGTTAACCGTGCTTGGGCGTATGTATGTATGTGTAGGAGAAAGGATAGAAAGGCCTAAGAACGCGATATGACCGATCACCAAATACGCCATGGCAACGCCCAATCATAAATCGTAGGAAGCCCGAGCTGGCTGATGAGATATTTCGTTTTCGTTAGATCTCCAAGGGGCTCCTCTCACGCTTTCTTGGAAGAGGCAAATACACTAGCTAACTTCTAAGATACGCCCATTGAGTTGATCACCTAGGTACCTACTTCTGATTACCCATACGACGTGCTGGCTATGAGATCCGACAGAAGCACGAAGCATGAAGCATGGCGGCATATACCTAGGTAGGTATCTACGCCAGGCGGACTAGCTGAAAGACATCCATCCATCAGACCAGACGTATCGCATTTTGGCCAGAATGCCTTAAGTTACCTATCTTATACCTACCTACCTATTGTCCGTCCCGAAAGTGCCGGTGCGTCGCTGTCTCGGTCTGGGGGCACAAAGGCTTTTCCCCCACAAGATATCGATAGGGTTAGATGCTTAGCCTTAGGTAGGTAGGTAGGTATGAAAAGCGGTGATACAGTTCGGTGATGCGGACCAGACCGACGGCGCATGAGGGCTTGAGACAGCCAGCCATCTAGCCAATGACTCAAGCTATTTTTGCCCTCGGCGCCACGAGGACCCCTCGTCCGAACGATAGTTTATAAAACAAGCTTTTTTTTTGTTCTTCTTATTTTACTTTACTTTACTTTATTTTCTTTTTTTTGGTCCCTTGGAGCCGTGATACCTATATTTACCTAAGGTACTTGTCTGAGACAAGTCTCCGGTTGGTTGGATATCCGCGTGTTCTTGCCCTGCGCCCGCGTTTTCTCGAGACGCGGGACGTTTAGGAGGGGAGGCCTGGGTATGCTCTGCTACATAACTACATAGCTTGTGGTTGATATTGGTGGTTATCGTCGGGCGGGTCGCGCTGCGACATTCGTGTGTTAGCTGAACGCGGCATATTGGCTCTTAGGGCGAGACTTTTTAGCTTGGTGTCGGTGTCTCTGGTGACTTTGTGGTATTCTACGATCATTTGGGGTGCTGCTTGCTGCTTGATTCGTGAAGAGGATCGTGACTCTAGGGTCGGTATTGCTATGACGTGTGTATGTATGCCTTGAAGACTTGTTGATTATAGGTTAGCTCATCAGGCAGTCCCTCTCTAAGGCATGTTTTATTTAAGTAATTCATTAACTCCTTCTGACTTTATATCCCCCGGGTTCTAATATGCAACAGTATTTCTAAGGTCTTAAGTTTCATGAGACCTTGTCGTTCGTAGGCTTAGACTTATATTGATCATCTCTGCGCTAACATGATGACGGGAGGAAGCCTGTTCTAGAATATACTAGTAGCTTAACGGTATTACCTATATACTAAAAGGTACAATGCAAACGGGTGAGTCAAGTTTAGTGTTCACCCTCATGTTTCACGTATTATTAAAATAGTCACTTTATTGCTAAGAATAGAAACATTCAACTTCCTATCTATTAAGAGTTTAATAGAATGATTAATCTCCCGTGTTGCTATTGTTTTATCGAAGATAGGCTATGGCCGTGGTGTATGTCTTTTACGGTATCTGTTATATAATTCTACGATAAAAGCTAGGTAGTTTATGATTCCCAAGAGCTTTCTTTTTCGTGTTTATAATGATATATTAGTACCTACCCTGCTTAGTTTAGTTTTAAAAACTCTTGCTTTTCCTCTAAAACACTACGTTGCCTTGGTATGGCGATTCTTATCCGTGTTTCAATTTTAAAAACTCAATACCTCGTGCCTTAGAATAGCTGTCTATATGAATTGAATTAATAGGAGAAATATTAGGTATCCCGTAGGAAGTTGTCATGGTGACTACCTACCTTAGGAGGTAGGTAATTATAATATTATAAAAATTTAAGTTGGCTTAAGAGGCAGAGATCTTGTTTAAGCACAACTATTAAGTTCTAGCTAAAGGAGAGCTCAAGCAATAGTATATCTAAATAATTCTTTCTGATATAAGCATACCTAATATCAGGGGAAGGGGTATAAAAAAACTAACTATGGATGGATTCTAAGTAGCATATCTTATCTTCTGTTAAGACAGAGGTCTGAATTTGGCAGATACATGATTGCCCACAAAACCTCGGTAGTTTCTAATGTTCTTTACGAACTTGAACAATTTTAGGTATATTTAATCATCCTAACTACCTCACTTCGGGTTTCATCAAATAGAATGGCCCCGAGGATCAGAGTAACCTATCATTAAAACCTAAGTAAAGTTTATGTAAATAAGTAGTCAGTACGGTCTATCTGGCCGCATCATAACTTGGCCATGTGAACTTCGGTAACTAGGTACCCTAGGAGTTACGATCTAGACGGGTGGATAAGAAATAATTTGTTAGGAAAAAAGGGAATTATCTTGTACGTTAGGCCTTTTGCTTTGTAGATGAAGTACATCTGTAGTTGCGGGTTACCAGGCAACATCTCGTACCCCGCTGTCGCCTTAAATAGCCCCTTAGGCAACCACTCTTTCACCCCCTAGTCGGCGCTGCGAAACCACTATGGCCGGTGGTCTAGTGGTAACGAAGTAGGGACAGAAATAATTCCTCGGGGAGTTTTTCGTAGGACTCAGGTTCGACCCCTATGAGGGGCGGCAGGCAGGCCAACTGTTCAGGTCAATCGATTAGAAGGTCGAATCCTGGGTCCAAGCTTTTTTGCCGCTTTCTTTTATGCTTCATTTTGTTTGTTTATTTTTGTGTATCTTATTTCTTTTTATTTGCCTTTCATTTACGTTTCTTACTACCTCTTCCCTTCCCTCCCTTCCCATGATTTCTTGACTTCATCACGGCGTTCGTTGGTGTTCAAGCTCGCACTTAGACTCAACTCACTACTGTTTATTAGGTAGCGCCAGCAAATATTGTGTACTCTACTCGTCAGTAGTCTTCAGCCCGTACTCCATCTTTATTAGATCGGCTGCCTTTTCTGCAAGTGCATATATTGTAGACTGCAGATTGCCTGGAGGAAGCACCGGCACAATACTTGAATCAACAACTCGGAGATTCTCTACTCCGTACACCTTAAGATTGCTGTCTACAACTCCCCCCTTGTCCTCAGGAAGCATTGCGCATGTTCCTGCGGGATGCCACATTGAAATAGAGCGGGCTCGAGTGTACTCCTTCGCGGCATCTAGATCTGTAAAATAGGCTGCCGGAGGGGAAAGCTTTAGTGGCTGCTTGAATATGCCGTTAAAAGACGGCGACGCTGCGAGGGTTTGGATATAAAGCATATGTTCTGCCAAGACCTCAACATCTACCTGGTTCGTTAAGTACTGTGGATCAATAATAGGAGCATCAGATACGTCGCTTGATTTGATGTGAACACTCCCACGGGAAAGTGGTTGAGCAAGTACGGCGGCGAAGTCAATATATCCTCCAGGCACAGGGGGTGCGGGTTCGCCCGTAGCAGGATCGGGCGATGCGGAGTTATTTGCGAGCCCCGTAAGGTAAGCACCTGATGGTGCGTTTGGGTCAAGCAGAGTACTTTCAGCTATATCATAATAAGCCGAAGCTTGGGTCTGATTTTTGCCCGACAGGTTTCCTGGCGCCGGCCGGTTCTTATCGAGCATCTGTTTCAGGAATTCTAGTCTACGACATGTAATTATTAGGCTCATGGAATGTATTATGTGATAGGGGACTAGGAGGCCAAAGATCAGGAAATAAAAGGAGAGAATCAAAGAGGAAGTTACCTACCCTTTGCCCGATTGATACTTAACCACTGGCATGTAGGCATACGTTTCAAACCCGCCTGTTGTAAGCAAGCCAGTATGGTTGGTCATAAACTCCTGCATAGACTGCCTCAACACCTCAGGGTCTTGTAGGGGGTCGAGGGTTTCTATGCCATCTGCTACCTCGCAAACAATTTCGCAAACAAGGTGATCTTGTAAATTTTCTCCAACCCCCTCCAGATGCTTGATTACCTTGATACCGTGTCGCTCTAGGATGCTGGTATTACCAACACCAGATAGTTCGAGTAGCTTCGGAGATTGCATGGCACCGGCAGCAACGATAACCTCTTTGCGTGCAGAGGCGGTTTTCGTCCGAGTCTCGTGGCGGTATTGGACTCCAGTGACCTTTGTTGAGTTCTCTTCGAATAGTATCTTTTCAACGATAGCATTGGTGAGGACATGAAGGTTCTTCCGACTCTTTACTGGGTAATAATACGCACTGGCGGAGTGGCTTCTTTCTCTCTTTACTGGATCGATGCTTGCGAGGTTACTGAAAGCTCCGACTCCTACCGATGGATCAACCCAAGGATCGTTGGGCATAAGGTATCCTATATCTTTGAATGCCGCTGCCCAGGCCTCGCGAAGAGGATGAGATGGGTTACCGGGAAAAGAGACTTGGACTGGACCTGTGCCTAATTCGTTCTTGGCCGTCCAGCCATCAATACCCAGGCTCTTTTTGATATTATCTGGTACTCTTGGTGGGGACGTATAGGCTTTGGCATAATAGTCACGTAGCCCTTCCCAAGTCCATCCATCGTTACCAAGCAAGGCCCAAGAATCGATCAATTTCTTGGTAGGTGGAGCAAAGACTTGTGCGTTTATAGCCGATGAGCCGCCTAAGGCGTTCCCCTATAATGTCACATTAGACGTTAGCTTAGAGGTATTATAAGTTGAGCTTAGCCCTGATATTTTCGTAGATGATGATCTAATAGATCTCCCGGTATTAAAACCGGACGAGCTAAGGTATTGATTTGAAATATCTGCGCTTACTTGATTCATGTTGATTCGTCTGTTATTGAGTCCTGGCTAGAATCTTGTTTAGCCTCGAGTCCTGTCTGTTTGAGAGGATATGCACCTGAGTTTCAGTTTGGAAACCCCAATCAGCCTCACTCTTCTTCAGAGCTGGGTATAGTGCTGGGATTTTCACGCGGGGATCTTCGCTATGGTCAGATCCAGCCTCCAGCACAAGTATGCGCTGACTGGAGTCTTCTGAGAGACGAGCGGCAACTACGAGCGCAGCCGTACCGCCGCCTGTGATGATGAAATCGTAGGATTCCGAATTCATGTTTTGATAAAATGTCTGCAAAAGTGTAGACACGTGGATAATCTCTTAGAGAGTTAGTATTATTGAAAGCCGTGTCTATCTATTGAAGCGTCCACCGGGGTGGTAGGAATACATGTATGAGTTATTGTCACTGGGGACCCTCTAGGAGGACTGTTACGCAGAGAGGAGAAGGAAGGTCCAGGATATGGTGTATATAGGTACATTACGAATCCGGTATTTCATGCATAGATACACAATGCATTCTGCAAATAATGTCTCGCATTCAACAGTGTAAACCAGTTGGCGTAAAGCACGTGCGTATACTATTCCGATAGTAGCTCGAGTTGCATTAATTCTTAGATTAATTCTTAGATAGGCGTTAATCTAAAGAGGTCTAACACGATTATTATGTCATGATTCTAGATGAGATATTCAGAACAAAGAACGCCCTCTGTATGTATAGCCTTAAGCTCCTGTAACTAGCTTGTAGTCCCTCGCGGAATAACGAAGTTATTTCCTTGCTTCTCAGCCCACCTCGTGATATATCACGTCTGAATCGAATCTGAGTTCGTCTTTAGATATGTGTATCTTGATAATACTTCACTCTTTGGTACAAAGCTTATTCCAAGCACCTACTCCTTTGTTACGTGCGATATGACGCTCTCACCTGGTGCTATACAAGTGGTGATCGTAGGGGTCATCACGAATGTCCTTGCGGTTATAGCAGTTGGATTGAGACTCTGGTCAAGACGGATCCAGGGATTGCCCCTCAAATTCAACGATTACATGGCAATTGTCGCTTTAATGTTGGCTACTGGCTTTGTCATCTGTCTTCTCTTTGGTAAAGCACACCGAAATCCCTAGCGTACCATCACACCGTAGGTAGTTGACGCTGCTATAGAAATAAGCATAGGAACCGTTGGTGTGCATGTTGACGACATACTAATTACCAGGCCATGGGCGCTCCCTATTTATCTGAAGGTTTGCACTGGCCCTATCGTCTCGCTTAGGAAAGTGGCTAATGATTTCAAGTCATTTATACCAGGACAAATACTATGGGCAGTAGCAAATACAAGCGTAAAGTTATCGATATTGTCGCTCTATACGGTGCTATTTCCAAGGAAGATATTCTCTTGGATATGCTATTGTACTATGGGATTGGCGGTTGCTTACTTTATAAGTGTACTCGTCGAGTCATTTGTGCTTTGTACGCCAGTGCAATATAATTGGGATAAAAGCATACCAGGCAAATGTACGAACCAAGACCAAGCCTACCTTGGCGCCGGCATTACGAATCTAATTATCGATGCTTTCATCGTCATTCTCCCCATGCCGATGGTATTCAGACTCCGAATGCCATGGCCGAAGAAACTTAGCATTGCTGCAATGTTTAGCCTTGGGGCCATGTAAGTACCTCTCAGTTACATGACCATTTTTGTCAATATCCCATTCTAAAGCTTTTTTTAAAACAGAATATGCATCTTATCACTCCTCAGAATCCTTTCTGTTTTGGCGTGGGATTTGACTGATATCACCTATTCGAACGTTAGACTTAATATTTACTCTGAGCTCGAACCCACCCTCGGAGTTGTGAATGCTTGCCTCCCAACAATCAAACCTGCACTCAATTTCATATTTGGGACAAGCAAACGTCGAACCACCCGAAATGTTGGTGACTTTAACAACTCCAAGCCAACTTCACGACAAGAAGGCAGGAAGATATTAATATCCGACAACACCCACGATGATGGCTAGCTGATTGGAGGGCCTAAATAGTATTAGGGATATTCTTTCAAGTCTTAGGCTTGCAAATGTGAGATCAGCGCAAGGTCGGGGACATATGCAGATATGTAACGGTTACATACATAGACTTGAACTAAGTGTAGGAGCTAGTGACGTAATGGTTGGTGAAGGGGAAGGAGAAGACTAGGTTAAAGTTTTATAAAGATCTTGAGCTAGCCTAATTAAAGGTACATACCTAAACTATTAGACTATACCTACCTCATAGGACCTAGTTAATGTTATGGTATCATCTAAGCTAACAAAACATCAACAAGCTTTCAACATGGTCGATCAATTATTAGCCTTTGCGCTTGCGCCGGTGCACGCCCAGATTTTGAATTGAGTCTTGGTTTTTTATTTTATTCGACGACCACTCTCGAACATACGAAAATAACCCAGTAAGGTCGTGCAGGACGAGGGGAGATGGCCTCCGCCTCCGGGCGGTCCCCAACGGTGGGACCCTCTCTCAATCTGCGAGGATCCTCGGCTGTGCCAGACCGCCCGCTATCGCTATCGAGACTGTCATCCCAAGATAGGCTCAATGGTATTCTCGAGGTTCGTGTGCATACCGTCATTGCTTTCTGGTCTATGGCTTTTCTGTCCCTGAGAAGAGAAACCGGGAGAGAAAAGAAATCATCTATCTAGCTCGCCCACGGTCCTCCCTTGCATCCAGACATCTACATAGTAGCTTCTCATTGGCCTTCCCTGACGAAAAAATTAATTTATTGCTAGACTGCGAGAGAGCGTGCCGACACCTTTGGTTCGCAGACATCGGGACGGAGTGCGAGGATGAGCTTTCAGCGTGTACTAGAGCGGGACGACGATGGCGCACCTGACGAAACTACGAGTATTGCGACTGCGCGCGGCAACACGGCGAACTACCAGAGCACGGGAATGTCACCCAATCCGAGAAATAGACGTCCCACACAGCAATCCGAGCTCGACTGCCCGGTAACAAATGGTACGAACGGAACAAACGGCGCATCTCCCCATACGAACGAGAAGAAGAATTGGTTAAAACATTACCTTAGCGGCGTATGGTCGGTAGAGTTGGAGAATAAAGGAAGCGTAGCTAGGGACCATTTAGCTTTGGGTACGTCAACCGGCCAGCCTCTATTTATTTTGCTGCTAACTAACAGCTTTGCGACTACCTAGAGCGGACATTTCTCGCCTGGCTGCGAACATCACTTTCGTTCGCGTCTATCGGAATAGCCATCACCCAGCTATTCCGTCTAAACACGGCGATAGAGCCGGACGACCCCCAATTTCTGACGATTCGCCGTGTAGGAAAGCCGCTCGGCGCGACGTTCATAGGCATATCTATTTTAATCTTATTGCTGGGATATCGTAGATACTACCAAGGCCAGCAATGGGTGATCAAAGGGAAATTCCCTGCCTCGAGGGGGACAATAATAATCGTCTCGCTGGTCGCGTGTGCGCTTATAGTTGTTAGCTTGTTTGTGGTCCTATTTACCTAACGTAACCTACGGCTGTGGGATCAAGCCACCTCTTAAGCTACCTTCGATATGGCGGGTTCGAAATCGGAGCTTGGAATAATGATAGCATTGATTGAAGAAGTGAGAAGAAACTTGGGATTGATGAAACTAGGCTAGATGGAATAATTCGTTTGGCTAGTATCTCAGGGAAGCTATAATTTATAATGGTTTCGATGTAGTCGGTAGTAGTAGTCATGGATTTTGAGTGGTGGATGTAGCTTGTCTACATGTAGGAAATCTAGCTACTTGAACTTATTATCATCAATTAAAAGAAAAGCCTTTACTCCACCAAACTTCACCACTTATAACTTACAACTTACATATGACAACCCAACCCAACACTACTTAGTGTACCTGACTTACCTAATTTAGACACGGGATCAAGGCGGATTCTACTTCTTTTGAATTTTAATATTGACCACATCGCTAAGCTCTCCAGCCTCATTACCAATAGCGGCTGCGACGATACCGGCTGTGTTTAGGAGTGAGATGAATACAGCCAGCTACCTAAGCTAGTCGACAATGTCACTCCTAGCAAAGTCGGTCGACGTACCGGCCTTCGCCCGGACTCAACTAGCACTCCTAGACATCGAACTGCAAAGCGAGATCAACGAGACCGGCAGCCTGATCTCAGGCACCAGCCCCGCTTCCCTGCAGCGCGCCGGGCTCGCCGTCACCAACCTGGTCGTCTCGTCGCAGCGCACCGGCCTAGGCGGGAGGACGGTCATCGAGCTCGCCCCGGACGCCGCCACCACCGGGACCGGAGAACTGCCCGAGCACGGCGTCCGCACCGGCGACATCGTGCTCGTCGCGGAGCAGCCCGCCGGCAGCGCCAAGAAGCGCGAGGTGAAAGACCTGGAGCGCAGAGGCGCCAGGGGCGTCGTGGTTAGGATTAGAAGGGACGCTGTTGCCGTTGCGGTCGACGAGGATAAGGAGGATGCGGCGTCTTTTGGCGGCGGCCGCGTCTGGCTTGTCAAGTTGGCTGATGACGTCACGTATCGCCGTATGAAGCAGACCATGGAGCGGCTGGGGGATATGGCGGAGTCGGAGTACTCGACTTTCACGCGTGTGCTTTTCGGCCTGACGAGCCCGTCGCCTGTGCCGGCGGATCTGGCTAGGGATTCGGAGTATGGGGAGGGCAAGATGGAGTGGTTTGATCCTACGTTGAACGACTCCCAGAAAGATGCTATTAGGTTCGCGCTCGCGTCCAGGGAGATAGCGTTGATCCATGGCCCGCCTGGAGTAAGTGCTCCAACTCCGAATTATGTTCTTCTGTTACGACCTAGATGAAGCTGACTGGGTGTTGCGCGTGTTTCTACTAGACGGGCAAGACGCACACACTGATAGAGCTAATCTTACAAATGGTCAAGCGCGGCCTACGTGTGCTGGTCTGCGGGCCGTCTAACATCTCGGTAGACAACATCGTCGAGAGGCTCTCTCCGCACAAAGTGCCTATCGTGCGACTCGGGCATCCGGCGCGCCTGTTACCCTCCGTACTAAACCACTCGCTAGATGTACTTACGCAGACCTCGGAGGCGGGCCTCATCGTCAAGGATGTACGCTCGGAGATGGATGCCAAACAAGCTTCCATTAAGAAGACGCGCAATGGTCGCGAGCGCAAGGCTATCTACGCGGACCTCAAGGAGCTACGGAAAGAATACCGCGAACGCGAGCGCCGATGTGTAGGTACGCTGGTGGGCGGGAGTAAAGTCGTCCTTGCAACGCTGCACGGTGCCGGCGGCAACCAACTGCGCGGCGAAAAGTTCGATGTTGTGATCATCGACGAGGCCAGCCAAGCCCTCGAAGCACAATGCTGGGTTCCGCTCCTATCAGCCTCCAAGGCCGTCTGCGCCGGTGACCATCTCCAACTACCGCCGACGGTGAAATCAACCAACTCGAAGACGAAACCCAAGGCTGCTGCAAAGGAAGGGGACGAGAAGGAAAAAGATGGTGCTATTATTAAAGGCGCAAGCCTCGAGACTACGCTTTTCGATAGGTTACTCAAACTCCACGGATCGTCTGTCAAGCGCATGCTTACGACGCAGTACCGTATGCACGAGAAGATCATGAGGTTCCCTTCGGATGAGTTATACGAGTCGCGGTTAGTAGCCGCGGACGCGGTGAAAGACCGATTGCTACGGGAGCTGCCGTACGAAGTGCAAGATACGGAGGACACGAGCGAGCCGGTGATTTTCATAGATACCCAAGGAGGGGATTATCCGGAGAAGAACGAGGAAGAGGAAGATAGGGAGGGCAAGGATGGGAAAGGGGGCGGGAAGAAGGGAAGCATTAGATCCTTATTCGGGGAGAGCAAGAGCAATGTGATGGAGGCTGCGCTCGTTAAGCAGCATGTTAAGAAGCTAGTCGACGCAGGCGTTAGGCCGGAGGATATTGCCGTCGTCACGCCGTATAATGCCCAGGTAAGCCTCATTCTCGTCTCCCCTTTTTCTAATAATCTTGATCTTGGCCCCCCTTTCCGATGTTATATTGCGCGAATTTTAACAACGTCGCTGTTCGTCCGGGCTATTCTAACTAGTTCCAGCTGGGGCTACTGGCCCCCTTGAAGGAAGCCTTTCCCGGGATCGAACTCGGGTCCGTAGATGGATTCCAAGGCCGGGAGAAGGAAGCCGTGATTGTGAGTTTGGTTCGGAGCAACGCCGAAGGAGAAGTCGGCTTCCTCAGCGAGAAGCGTCGTTTAAATGGTACGTCGAGCAATGCTTGCTTTCTACATATATAACTCACATCAAGACTACGATATGGAATAATTAACGATCCTCATGCTAGTTGCCATGACGAGGCCTAAACGCTCGCTAGTCGTCGTAGGCGACTCTGAGACCGTCCGAAGGTATGTCCAAGTACCCATCGCAATATCCCGCCCATCCCTGATCTTTAATTTCGTCTGACATGGCCCGCGCTCCGATCCTCGCCACGTGGGGAATTTCTAGAAGCTCATTTCTGACTCAAAACTACCTACGCTAGGGGCAGCAAATTCCTCAGCAACTGGATGGATTGGCTCGAGAACAATGCTGATCTCCGTTACGTCGATGCGGCTTCGATAGAGGCATAAGACAGGTAGGTATGTGACGAACTCGCTTGCTTGGGAAATTGGGGCCCGGCGAACAGACGTTTGCCCGAATGCCGAATTCTTTTGGAACTGGTGAATTGGAGGACACTACCTAGTCATCCGAATTTTTTGATACGAGCGAATAGTGGTGGCTGGAACATTGCGGATGCAACTCTACGATGCTTACCGAGCTTACTTACCTAGGTACATACCTATGTTGAGGTCTTTCTAGTTGCTGCTGTTTGGTCTTTATTAAGACGTGTTACTACGCACCTCGTAGATTATTCCTTGCCGTCTGCCTCGACTCCCCCTCGCAAGGCTTATACAATGTATGTGTTTGCGACGTCCAAACGATTAGGGTAGGGAGGCAGATTCCAATTTAGACGGGTATATTCTGCCTCACTTAAGGGACAAGGAGTGCGATATTTGGACCATGGCGGCGGGTGGGCGGCATCTTCGAAGGCCGAGGAAGCCAAGGGTCCCCAGAGTTTCTCTTATTAATGAGGGTTATAACGAATCTCCATATACATACGGATATGTAATGTGAATGAAGTATTGTGCTGCCGTTAATAACCTTATCGAGTATTCGAAAAGAAAGATACATAGGTATGGGACGGTGACGCTGTGATTAGGTACTGTGACGCTGTGACGATTAGCCTAGGTACGTACATACAGTAGCTCAAATCCTTGTTGTTTCAGGTGCTCTTTGGAGGTGGGGGCGGACCGTTCAAGATCCACAAGGCTAGACTCGAAAGGAGAAAGACGAATTTAAGTACATTGGTACATGAGTATTCGTATAACATGTATTTTGTATGTCTGTATTCCGTACGAAAGTAAAATATTGGTCGACTACTATATCGTATTGTTGATACGATATAGTGGTTACTAATGATCTGAATGACTGGGGAATATCATCGTTTACGTCTTTGATCAAGTATATCCTTGGCGAACTCGATAGGAAAAGAGAGGGCCGTAATGCAAGTGTTAATCTGTCAGTCTGTATGTAAAGTACCATGCAATGCATGCCTTGTGCGTTTGTAACGCAGTAAGGTAGCTTTCGACAACATCCAATGCAGCAACTAGATGCAACAAGATGCAACTGGATGCAAGCTACAGGAGACGCATTGGATGTGAGCTCTTCTTTCATCCTGCGAGACTAGAGCCGAATCCTAAAGGACCGGCGAATACGTGTCTCGAGTTGCACCTCGTGCCGGCCCTTTTCAAACCTCGTGCTGTGGTGCCAACATAACCTAAGACGCCTATCGATCGCTGCGCTACCTTGCGGCATTGATGTTATTAGTCAGTTAGTCAGTCAGTCAGTCAGTCAGTCAGTCGCATAGCAACCGCGCCGCGATGCTGACGTCTTGCCCGCGGACTAAAGACGGGGAGATCTTATTAAGCGAGATCCTGGCCCATAGGATTTCCCTTCCCCAGGATGTCCCTCGCAGATCAAACGCGGCAAGCGTCGATGGGTCGCGTGGGTGTGTCGAGGCCGTTCTTCGTAGTGTAGTGTATGTATGTGTCGTACGGCAGCTTGGCATCGCTGCTAATACTAGAGGTCGATAAATCTACGGATGAGCCGGAGAGCGAACGTGGTGCAAAATAACAGGGACGAGAATGGAGAATCGGCCCCTCATTTCCAGCGTCGGCCGCTACAGAATTTCATTACATGCAGTTTTAGTGTCTGTAGCTGAGAACACTCTTCAGACTGTGCTCGGCTTTAGATCATCTTCGCGGATATGCGGGCCATGTTCCTCACGATGCGAGGTTTTACACTATGCATAGTAGAATTCGCGAATAGTAAATACAGCGTGCGTGATATGTGGATTTCGTGCTCATGCTTCAGGTACCTAATGTACTTGTTGCTTGATAGGATGCGGTAGAGTACTTGATCTGAGTGTTTAAATTAAATAAAGAAACGTCTGAATATGTTAGGTACTTAGGTATGATACTCTTTTGGTTTAGAGTAGTGTGACTGGGAGTTGCGTTGGTGTTTTACTATTTCAGGTTGTACGGAATATGTGATTTGCGACCGACGAATCTGGGTATATCATTAGTGCTGAAAATATGATACGGTACGTAAATATTTCCAATATATACGGGATATACCTGAATTACCCGCCTAAGCGCGTGTAATATACGATCCAATGTCCTAGTTAATAATAATAAGTATCAGTATTAACGTCGTCGAAGCGAGATATATGGCGTTTGCAGTTGATATATCTTGAACGACTCGAATCTAATTGCAATTTACATGGTATACATACCTACTATAGATATGTACAAGTGAAGATTAAACCCGAGATCGAGTCAGCAGTCAGCGTAAGAAGCGCATGTTTAGACGAAACGATTGTGAACCCCCAACCGGAAAGAGCCTCCGTAGCTTGTAGATGGCGTTTAAGCGTGCGTTTAAGTACGTTGTAAGTGGCTTCCCATTCCAATGCTTGAGTATGCGCCTATCCGGTCGGCGGTCGTACTCCTCAACCCCTGTAGGGGAGAAAGCACCTGGTTCTTTAAATCAAATACTGTATGTACCTCTGTAGCTAGGAAGCTGCTAGGTACATAATACGGTACAATACTACCTGTGTATGTCAACCCTAAGCTTAGCAGGCCTAGGCAAGTCCATCTAATCTGTCAAGTCTACTACAGGTACCCAGGTATCCCTATCTTAATTTACAGATTATACAATTATCATTAGTATCTGCTTACGACACCCTTACATTTACATCTTCGCCCATCTGGAATTCGTGGCTCTCTTTGATACAATAATTCTTTGAGACAAGAAAGTAGTTGGCGCTCCAATACGAATCCAAGTGACAGCTTAAAAATCTTCATGTCACAACCATTCATTGCCTCCCCGTCTTATTCCTACGCGAGATGCAAAGACACACGCCAATGAACCATTCAGTCCGTCGAGACAATCTCAGCCATCAGTTAACACACGGATGGATGAACACACGGACCTCTTGAATGCACATGCAGGTCCAAGCAGGGTTCATCCACATCCACATCCACATCCACTCTGCCACTGCAAAACCCCTTGGGGGGCCAATATCAGAGCATTCCAACGCCCTGGTCCTTCGTCATCCCGACCTATCCTAGCTATCCTAGTCCCCTTTTGAGCTCTCTTGCGGACTTAGCTACTGTGGTTTCTGCCATTTCTGTTACTTGGAGCCGATCTCTCATTAGACATTGTTGCAGCAGTGCAGTTAAACCCCCCTTCGCACCGGCGCCTGTATGCATTGATAACTATTTCATGGGTTGTCACTTATCCATCCAGGATTATTCATAGTATGTAGGTACATTTTGTTTACCGCCCGTCCGCTCAAACCCCCCCGGAGCCTTGCCATCCCACTCGCTCATTCACTATATGCATGAGTGTGCGGCCGTCGCAGGAATACTATGTACACATTCCAACATGTATGCGCTGTAATGGCCCCAAGGCCTCTCGTATCCCACCTCTTAAACTAGCTCTGCTGCTCAGGTCTTCTCGCAACCTATCCTTCCGTTTGTCTTTTGCCACTATTATCAAGTAAACATTCGACGAGGGTAATATACCCTTCTCGACCTTTGATTCGTATACTCGACGCCCAACGTTCTGTCGAGCTGCATTGCTGGCGATGTGAGATGCAGGAAGCGGTTCTCTTCCCAAACAAAGTTGGTTAATCGCGGATTCGGACTTGCTATGTTTTGAAAGAAAAAGAGAAATGGATCGCTGGTCGCCCTCACTTCCATTATCAATCATCTACCCACCATTTCCCCCGTCGTTCGTTACATCTGTAATCTAACAGCTCCGTGAAATCCGCATCTTGCTTTACAAGCCAGCAATATGGGTATCTTCAGGCCTGTTACCAATGTCGGGCGACCGAAAACCGCCCAGCCTGACCAAGCTACTATCCGCGGTAGAATTAGCGGTCCTATTCCAATAGACGACGAGTTTCCTATTAGAGGCGCCGGTTCAGGCATGGCTCATGAAGGCAGATCGGAGCAACTTGAGCCTCATATCGAGGACCGACCTCCTTCGAGACCTGGACATACCCCTCCTGAGGTCGCACGGGTGGACAAGCCTGACTCTGTCGCACAGTCTGGACCGAGCCAAGCTTCAAACGCATCTACGAGCCCGCAACAACAAAGGACGATCCGTTCTAGTACCGTAAGGTATTCTATGGTTAGCGATAATGGTGGTGCAGAGATAGATAGGCCACAGCGGAAAAAGTCTACGTTAAAGTCTACAATCGGTAGATTATTCAAGAGAAAGAAGAAGAGTACGAGCCAGGCATATAACCCAGAGTCCCAGTTTGGAGGACTGGTCGACTCTACACTACATGAAGATGTAAGCATATATACAACTTATTACCAAGCTCTGTTTGTTAAGGACCGTCAAGTTCTAACAACTCTGTGTTTTCAGGACCAGTCGGCTTCGAATCGAGCCCTAAAAACAAACGAGTCGAAGCGGTCCGTCTCGTTACCAGTTACAGAATTCGACAGAGCGCTAAGGTCGCATTCCGTCGGCCCCGATGATATGCTAGCAATTACCAGCGCCCGCAGTTCAATACAAATAGATCCCATATTGCTTCGAAGAAGAGCCGCATCATCGAATAGGATCCTAAGCGGACGGGTAAAAGATTTTGATGGGGAGTTAATAGGTCTATCTCCTAGACCTGCCAGCACTCACGGACGTGGCGAGCATACGTCCGCTGAAGATGACCCCGATGGCATTGGCCGTGCCATCACGAGCGATAGTCTTGCGCACCGCCGCAGATCGAGAAGTCTATCGCAACTCCAGGACGTCGTAGCGGGCCACGTCCAAGTTCGAAAGCGGAGCGACGAAATCCGCTACTGGAGAGAAAGTTATAATGCAGCTATCCGATCGCCTAATGCGTCTACCATCAACAACGACGATACCGGCGTCGTGGAAGTAGACGCAGAAACGCCGGCTAGCTCCCCAGAGCAGCAATTCTCACCACCAAAGACACCGTTGCAACCCTTTCATTTTGGTCCAATGGCGGGTATGAAGATAACTCAAGCAGCTGGCCTCGAAGATCGTATAGCTACTCTAGAAGTTCGTAACCAGAAATTAGAGAAGCTAGTCTCTCAGTTATTCCAAGTTATTCCGGGCGTAAACAATTACGTGCCTGCTACTCCCGATCAACCACGGCATCGCGGTTCTATAGGAGCATCTGCGACTTACACGCCGAAACGCCCCATGACAGCAGAAACATCAGCATACATAGCATCCTTAGGCGACATTGAAGATTCTTCTAGGCATACGTTATCCCGGCATTCGAATGACTCGTTTGGCGATGGAAATACATTTATCGGATCGTTGCCTCCTTCATCAGCACCGCCGCGACGGCCGCGCCCTACGTCTAACTCTACCATTCGTGGCGCAACAAGTCTCCCTACGTTGCTAGGGGAGAGTATGGGGCCCTTTACTACGGATCATTACGTGACTCTGAAGGCCTTATTAGACACCGAGAGAGACGCGCGGCAAGCGCTGGAGGCTCGGGTGACGCAACTTAGCCATAGGCTTAACCTCGTAGCGCGAACTTCGAACAAACTCGAAACCTCATCTACTACTTACTCCACCGTATCTGCATTTGATCACGATGATGACGATGAGCCCCTATCCGCCGGCATCGACACCGAATCAGAAGCATACAAAACACCCCGCGAGGAAGAGCCGACACACGGCTTCGGCGCTTTTGGCGAAGAGCTTCGTGTGGAGGAACAAGACGGCTCAAGGAAAAAGGCTGCTAGGACCCTTTCCCTGAGCCAGTTAACTCTAAAGAGGCCCCCTCAGTCTCCGCAAGGGGCCGGTGTGGACTTATGACTACACGGACTCCAATTTTATACCAGCTAACTTACCCAGACATGGTAGAGCTTTGACTACGGCTGTTAGAACTTTTTGATTCGACTTGTTGCGCATTTTCTAGGACGCAACTGGATTTTTGGGCATGGGGGCGGCTTTCTTTTCTTTGTCTCTTGGCGCAGACACTGGTTGGCTCTAACGACGTTTGAGCACGGCGTTTTGAGATCTATGACTGTACGATACGACCACCGCTTCTTCATCTGCTGCATCTTACCCTTCTTCTCAAACGGATCGGATGAACTTGCAAGCTGCCTTTTTATTCGCCATCTTGATCCTGGAAGGTAACGAACCTTTACTACTAATCCAGTCCGACCTTTTCATTGCGATTTTTCGACCAGTTCTTCTACTTTCAGCCTGTTATTTGATACCATATCATACTGGGCGGAACGCCTTGCATTGCGCGGGTTTCTATTGTTCTTTTGTTCTTGGGAGGATTTTTTTTTTTGGATATCCTACGCGGAGGATCGCAAAACCTATTTTTTGAGTAGAGCTTAGGCGCGTATGATACCAAGGGGAAGAGGTTAGGAGGCGAGAAAGCTGATTGGGGGAAAGCTGAAAATAACATTGTAGTGGTAATCTGTTTAATATACGAAGCGCGCATGTTGCGGACGCGTAGTACCACCACTGGTAACAACGGATTATTTGAGCATGTTGATCTAACTGGGTAGTTATTGATATTGTGACTGTATTGTGACTGCTGATTCCATAGATCGGGCCCCGTCTATAACGTCTGAGAGTATACCAAGACCACGTTTAAATCCAGTTATTTCAGTCTCGTAGCGCTCGGGGGTTGGATATCAAGTGTATTGCCTCAATACTATTTACCATAACTCTTCATATCAGAGTCTGAACAACTAGGTAGGTATAAAAAGTAGCCAACTACCTACTATTGCAACAGGAACCCACCCTACGGTATTCGAGGCACCATTCCAATACCGACGCAACAACCCCTCTCCTCTTTTCCCCATAACCGCCATCCCAGCTTCCAGATCCAGAATAGCAAGGGCCACGAAACGAGCCGCCGCCAAGTCTTATACCTACCCCCCCGTCTTAATTGAGGAGCTTACTACATATGTACTACTGTACGTATATGGTATACCGTCGTTGCGGAAAGGGGAAGCTCTTGCGTGATCGCTGGTGATTGGGCAATTTTGTGTGTTATCAGAACGTCGGTTAGACGTTAGGTATGTAGTTGGGGTTAGAGGGGTAGTGGCTTGGTAGGTAGGTTAGTCAGTTAGCTGCATATACGTTAGGTTAGGTAGGTAGTTATCTTCAGTGTTTTTCTAGGCGAGCGGAGGTTATGTAGTGATGGTGATATCGACGGGGACGATGATGTCGGTGGCGAGAGAGGAGTTGGTAACTGCCGGCATCGCTGCGTGGTGTAGATACTGATTATATTATGCGCGAGAGTTTGGGGGTATTTGTTATAAGTCTATTATATATTATATATTATATATTATTAATAATTGATAGTTAGCTTTACTTAAGTAAAGGGTTTCGTCTACGGTTCTATATACTATCTCTAGGTAGGTATATGATCGCTATTATGAAACTCACATTCTCGGCGGTGATTGCCGCTGCGACTCTCTGTGCGGCAGCACCATTCACCTCGAGCAATCCGGCCAACGTGCTCCTGAGGCCTAGAGCGGAGGAGCCGCCGTCTACGTTGACATGCCTGGCGTCGAGCTGGCCTCCGAATACGATAGGCGGGCCAAACTTACCGCAGTCGCCGTCGGCGGATCTCGAGTCTATACTCGCGCAAGTCGATCCGGCCAACATCGAGGCTACAATTCGGAAGTTGGTGTCGTTTGGCACGCGGCACACATTATCGATCCAAAATTCGACGACGCGGGGTATAGGAGCGGCGCGCGACTGGATTCACGCCGAGTTCCAGAAGTACGCCGACGCCAGCGATGGGAAGCTGACCGTCGAAACAATAGGGTATACGCAGGAGGCGGATAATAGCCGTATCTTGTTCCCGGTGCTCATCAGCGACGTCGTTGCGACTCTACACGGCACTGAGGATAACCGGCTATACGTTGTGTCCGGGCATTACGATTCGAGGGTCTCGGATCCGCTGAATTATGAAAGCGACGCCCCTGGAGCCGACGATGACGCTTCTGGGGTCGCTATCTCGCTCGAGCTCGCGCGGATCATATCGCAGCCCCAGTACCCTCGCCCGAAGGCGAGTATCGCGTTTGTAGCCGTCGCAGGTGAAGAACAGGGGCTTTACGGGGCGAATTTCCTAGCTCAGACGTACGCCAATGCCACGCCGAGGGTTAATGTAAGTTTACCGTTCTCTTTTTGGCTTGGGATAGACGCATTTGATGTAAAAACCCGTAAAACTTCAGATGGCTCTTTTCCATGTATGTCCCTAGACAATGTTACGTCCCTTTGTATGAGCATGAGCCTAAACAAGCCATGGGAGACTTAAATTGACACTAATTTCCGCTCGTACCCGTAAAGGTCGAAGGCATGTTCACAAACGACATCGTGGGATCGCCAAAAGGCGGGACGAATGGAGAATCCGTAGACCCGTACGTGATACGGCTGTTCGCGCAGGGGCTGCCTGGTCTCGCGATCGAGAACAGCACGACGCGGGAGACGCGCCTCACGATCGGCGGTGAGAACGACTCGCCGGCACGCCAACTAGCACGCTTCGTTAAGGAGACAGCCGAAAATACGGCCACGGGTATGAACGTCTCCGTCGTCTACCGCCTTGACCGGTACCTGCGCGGCGGCGACCATCGGCCCTTCCTCGAGGCCGGGTACCCGGCTGCCCGGTTCACGGAGCCGCATGAAGACTACGCGCACCAGCATCAAGATGTGCGTGTCGACGCTGATGGGAAACAATTCGGAGACCTGCCTGAGTTCGTCGACTTCGAGTACGTGGCGCGTGTTGCGCGCGTCAACGGCGCTGCGCTGTGGAGTCTTGCGACGGCACCCGGGATACCCCAGAATGTGCGTGTTGATACGTCGGCCCTGAGTACTAATACCACGCTCTATTGGGATCCGCCTGCTACCGGACACGATGGTAGTTATGAAGTGGTATGGCGTCCTACGAGCGCGCCCTTTTGGACGGGTGTGCTCGACGTTGGCAATGCTATTGAAGTCACAGTACCACTGAGCAAAGATGATGTCGTGTTTGGAATCCGGGCTAAAGGTACAGATGGGTTGCGAGGTGTTGCTGTGCTGCCTTTTCCCGGGAGCCGGTGAATGAGAGGGTGATGAGTTGTTACACATACTAAGACACTTTTTCTGTTAATATATAAAGAGGTATACCTACAGAGATAAATTTATGTAGGCCGTCAAAAAACAGAATTGTTGGTTGCTGGACTTGTCCTAACGTAGCGACAAGATTCGAATCGCTATCAGAAGCCAAGGATAGACGAAATGAGATGTATCGTATGTCAGTGAGTAGAGTAGTTGTACATATTTCATAGGTCGTCAAAAGAGAGTGAATCTAACAATTTCCCGTGTTCTCGGAGAATGACTGAGACGTCGCTGTTGTGAGATGAGATGGTCATCTCACTCAAAGTCTCCGACATGTAGTGAGGTCACTCAACTTCTTAAGCAGTATTACATCGCACATCCCACCGTTTGAAGTCGAGAACTAGCATGATTTGATAAACGTGGTAAATTCGCTTGGAATATGTAATAAGTAGAGTTTGATATCTCTATCCCAATTTGAGTTTCGTATTGTTGAATGTGTGAAAGTATGAAAACACGATGAATCATAGGTAGTGTAGACACAATTTAATTCGAAGGGAATACGAGTAAGATTTGTATTACATAAGATCAGTCACACAGGTACAATACCTAACAGTACGTACCTACGTGGGGTGCGCATCACTACCCGAATCTATAGGCGACTTCAGGGGAGAATGAGGCTTAGAGAATAGTGAACTTAGGTACCTAACCTAACCTATACTTTAGTCTTTCATTGATCCATTAGTTATGTGAATCCGTTTACCTTCTAACAACAACAAAGTTGCTCCAACAATCGCTATTTCAATGCCTTATATAGTAATCTCATATATTTCCATCTATTTCGGTACTTAAGATAGCTAGCTCTTCGCAAAGATGATATTGCGAAGACGCGTCTGGTTCCCTTTCGCCATCGCGACGCTGATCCTCTTTTTCTACTATTCCTGGATCACTCAGGATGGCTACGGATTAACCAGCTCTAGAAGCGCATCTCAAGATCCCCTGTTTATCGCACAGGCTATAGAGGATGATAACTATTTCTGGCGGAAAGTTCCCACACATTATCCCGTCCAGGATATAAGACAGCTGCCCACCGGCAAGCCACGTGTACTTCCCAAGATTCAAAAATCATTCGGAAAAGAATCAAGTAAAGATGCCAAGATTCGTCGGGGGCGGCAAGAAGCTATTAAGAAGGCGTTCGCTCGTTGCTGGAAGTCTTATAGGTCTAGGGCTTTTAAGAGCGATGAGTTAGCTCCTATCAGCGGCAAATCCAAAGAGTTATTTGGAGGCTGGGGGGCTACCTTGGTCGACAGCTTGGATACCTTATGGATCATGTCGATGCGGTCCGAGTTTGAGGAGGCCGTAAATGCTGCGGTTAACATCGACTTTACGACCTGCGTGATAGAAACCGTAAATGCTTTTGAAACCGCAATTCGCTATCTGGGAGGGTTTCTTGCAGCTTATGACTTAAGCGGCGACCTACGATTGCTACGCAAGGCCAGAGAAGTCGGGGATATGCTATACAAGGCGTTTGATACGCCTAATCGTATGCCGATATCTCGTTGGGACTTTGAGAATGCCAAGAAAGGAGGGAAACAGGTTGCACCCGAAATGGAATGGCTTGCTGAGGTCGGCTCGTTCAGCATGGAGTTTACGCGGCTATCTATGCTGACTGGAGACCCGAAATGGTATGATGCCGCCGAGAGGATCAGAGAGGCCCTCGAAGAGCAGCAAAGCACCACTCAGCTCCCTGGTATGTGGCCGTTCGCGCTTAATCCTCGAGACATGAATTTCAATAGCGACACCACGTTTGGGCTCGGGGCTCTTGCAGACAGTACCTATGAATATCTGCCGAAGATGTACGCTATGACGGGTGGGCTTATGCCTTCATACCAGTCTATGTACGAGAACTCGATGAAAACTGCTCTTAAACATCTTCTTTTCCGGCCCATGGTTCCGGATACTGCGGACATCCTAATATCAGGTACCATGCATATAGGGAATGAGGACGGGAAGAAAGCCCTATACTTAGAGCACCAAGGCCAGCATTTGGTCTGCTTCGCTGGTGGAATGCTCGCAATCGGCGGGAAACTATTCGAGAAACCGGAACATCTAGAAATGGCTACGAAGCTAGTAGACGGGTGTATTTGGACGTATAACGCGATGCCGCTCGGAATTATGCCCGAGACCTTCGTCATGGAACCTTGTAAGTCCGACAACGAATGCGAGTGGGATGAGTTAGTATGGAAGCGCGCTGTCCTACGGGAGGCGGGCGAGCAGGATTTAGATGACTTAGAGAAGGCGGACGAGATAATCGCCCAGTCCAGACTTCCGAAAGGATTCACGATGATCCCCGAGCCAAGTTACCTCCTACGGCCAGAAGCCATAGAGAGCGTGTTTATTCTATATCGTATCACCGGTCGTCCAGACCTACTCGAGTCGGCCTGGGTTATGTTTGAGTCTATCCAGATGAACACCAAGACGTCGTTAGCGAATGCGGCTCTAGGCGACGTCACGGTTCATGGCGATCCTCCGAAGAAGGACTCTATGGAGAGTTTTTGGATGGGCGAGACTTTGAAGTAAGTTGATTTCTCTCTTTTCCCTCGGCTTTGTCTGGAATAGCCATGTCGTAGATGGATCGGGACTAACAACTGGGCTATAGGTATTTCTATTTGATCTTCAGCGAGCCCGATCTCATCAACTTGGACGAATGGGTATTCAACACGGAGGCCCATCCATTTAAGAGATTGGTCTGATATATATGTCTATATATTTCTAGCAATGTACTAATATATTTTCTACGAATGGGTTTGGGATCTGGGACGAGGGTAATGAGGGGAGTATGAAAGAAGCACGTATACGTAAGCTAGGCAATTGGATCATAAGTAATCTTCAGTCAATGGGAGTGTATCGTATATTAACAGGTAGCTACCTAGGTAGGTACTGACATGAAACCCCTTACGCATTCGTCTAAATCTGGACGCGAGTTCTCTCCACTTTTCATGTCCAGAGCATACCCCTACCGCAGGGCTTACGTCTATTTGTTTCCTGCTGGTATGGCAGAGGCGCAGCGCGGGGTTTCGAGCTTTCAACTATACCCGAAGGGAGAAAATACTTCAAATTTTAAAATGCATAAGTTTTTATCGTAGGATAATATCTAGTCGAAGCCTCCTCGTCCACGCCACCACAGAGTTTCCTTGAAAAAAGAAAACCGCAAGGTAAAGAAGAGAAATTACCAAAGTTCTGGTAACCAACGAACAACTTACTGTCGCCAACGATACTCGAATATCGAATTTAGTCTACAGCTCTTGCAGTTCAAAATTCACTTACAATACGATTATGGAGAGTGTCGAAGGAAAGTTATGTGACAAATGTATGCTCATTTTCCGGGATCGGCACGGCTACGATACCATATTACACCAAAATTATCGTGAGCTTATAGCGAGTAAGAATAGCAGGTGTTATATCTGCTATTATTTATGGGCAACGCATCGGTACGAGTCTGGGGAGTTTATTATCTCCACGTCTTTCATGCTCGATGATATTAACCCCATGTCATTCATACATCTTAATATCAAAAGTTCTTGGGCCGGCTATTCAGATGTCAAATGTAGGTCTGAAGTATTATTGGAATAACCTGTCATCTTAGTACACCTATATACTGATAAGCTGCCTAGTCCATTTAGCACCTCTAGCACAACAACCTCGTGCACTATTGAGCGAAGTTGAGGCCCATCCTTGGTCTACCCTCGGCCCTAACATAGGGTCTGACGAGTCCTTAGGAAAAATACGTCAGTGGATATCATCCTGTCAAGCCAGCCATAAATCTTGTGGTTCAATACACGGACACCATGGATCACCTGGTTTGGAAATCGGTACCTTCTTCCCAACTCGAGTGATTGACGTTGAGGAAGCCGAAGCTGGGGTAATATTTCTACGAGAGAGAGCCGAAGTCACGGTTCAATTCGGCACCGACAACGAAGCACGCCTACCAACATCAACCGAATCCAGTACCATGCATAAGTATCCCGTCTACTGGACTCTATCTCATCGCTGGGGAGATGCTGATGAGATGCCACGACTTCTTAAAGACACAGAGTCACAACTCCGTAAAGGCGTTAGGCTTGATAAATTACCGCCGATCAACGGAATGTGGCCGACATTCCGCGACGCGGCCCTTCTTGTTAAACGTCTCGGCTATAGATATATTTGGATCGACTCGTTATGCATCTTTCAAGATTCAGATAGCGAATGGCAACGAGAGGCTAGTACGATGATAGATATCTACCGCCACTCATATTGCAATATATCGGCGGGCTTTGCGTCATATAACCCAGCAAATAACGGTCTTTTTAGGCGAAGAGAGTTGTGTGAGAGGCACCTCTATCCAGCTGTGGTGAACATAGATGCTCAACTATGGTGGGCATGGTGTATTCCAAATTGGAATGACCAAGTCGAGACAGTGCCTCTCAATAAACGCGGCTGGGTCGTACAAGAACGATTTCTAGCGACGCGGACTATTCATTTCGCTGGAAATCAGGTCTTCTGGGAATGTTTGGAGGACATCAATTACGAATCTAAACCGACAAGTGAAAGCCTAGCAGATCTAGAAAGGAACGCGGAAAACTGTACAACTATGAAGGATAGGAAAGCAGTGTTGATGTTCCATAAACTCAAAGAAACTACTACTGAACCGTACCCCCCGCCTCACGATGAAGAGAGATCAAAGGAAATCTATGAATCCTGGACTCGTATTGTGGAATATTACGCATCTTGTGGGCTTACAAAAGAGTCTGATAGATTGATCGCTGTATCCGGCATGGCGAAGGCTTTCCAGGAAGCCACCGGCGACACATACATGGCTGGCCTATGGAAAGGTGCGTTCGGCCGTTACCTTACGTGGTATAGTACGGCTTACAATGGAGGTCAAGTCCGGCGTAGCGAGTATGCGCCGACGTGGAGTTGGGCTTCGACTACGGGAGGTGGGGTGGAATTCTTCGATTGGGTTGAAGGTCATTATACATCATTTTTCAAACTCATTGGGGAGCGGATCGTGCCTGAACCGCCTAATGGGGACTCTTTTGGATTGCTTCTCTCCGCGGAGCTTGACATGGAGTGCATGATTTGCTACCTTCGATTGGATACGGGGTGGCGGCGGTACGACCAGGGGAAGACCTGGGTATATCACGACGAAGCTCGAAGCCGGTGCTTTTTCGAGGGACATTCAAATACAGACATATACTATGATTTGATAGACTCGCAAGATAAGTTTGAGCAAGCGAACGAGGTGGGAGATGATTTCGTATGCACCTTTATTCCAGTATGGAAACAAGGCAACGATACAACGCTTTGCCTTATATTGGAGCGCGATGTAAACAATAGGTATAAACGAGCTGGGCTTCTGAAATGGTACCAGTATAATGACGAGGCAAAAAGTCCTTGGGACAATTGGACCCGTACAAAAAGTCTTATTACACTTATATAGAGGCTTCTTATTACACTTATATAAAGGCTGAGAGATGAGATACGCAATCCTATTGATGCATTAAATAACAGCTTTACATATTACTTTATATATGCATATATACCTAGGTACATATTCCATTAAATGCATACATGTACAGGTATGTACCATAGATGACAGCCTTGCACAGATTAGATTACAAAGTACACCTCATCCATTCATCTGCACCCGCAATCACATTTTCTCAGCTTTCTCCCCTCAGCCGCGGCAAACAGCGCAAACACGATATGCCACCACCTCCCTAATTGATCGACGGCGAAACTCATTAAACAAGTCAATTCGCACTAAAAACGTGCATCAACCACATCTCGCACGTTCTTTTTTTTTCTTTTCCCGCCGATCTATCTTACCCATTACGTAGCCTCAAGCAAACCGCGTCGCAAGCATCGTCGTCGCAGGTCGCCATGGCGGATAAGTGGGTAGATTGGAACAAGACCACCCGGTCTAAGGACTATCGCGGGTCCGGGTCGTTTGCGACTTTTATGATTATAGGACGTATGTTTATTCTGCTTCTCTGCTTGTTACTGCGCTGCGCTGTGCTGCTGCTTAAACCCCGCGGCGCAAAAACGACCTAATGAATATATACACATACAAACACATAGACCTACTATACAGACACTAACACTTCTCTCCCCTCTAGCAACATGCTTCTTCCTCGGCATCCTCTTCGCCATGTTCCCATACGACTTCCCGCTCCTATGGACCAAAGACCCCATCTCGGCCACGTACCTCGACCAGCTCGAAATCCACCTCAAATTCATGCACCAGTCCCCGCCGCTGATCGCGCGCATCCTAAGCATCATGGTCGGCGTCGGCTTCCTCGGCTTCTTCATCAAGCTCTTCCGCGCCTCCGAGTCCAACATGCTGTTCGACGGCGCCTCCCTGGTCCTGTACCTGATCGGCGTCGGCGTCTACGTCGCTAACATCGTCAAGGGCCTGCGCCTCGTCAGCGCCAACGCCTGGGACGAGGACGCCTCCTCCTTCGACCCGACCGCCGTCGGCGTCGGGCGGCCCGGCGCGGGGGCCGGCGACCCGCTGACCGGCGGCGAGATCATCCTCGGGAGGGAGGACAGCCTGAAGGTCCTGGCTGCTAGCAACACGATTCTGGCGCTGGTGCTCGTCGGCGTGCTGGTTCTCCAGGCGGGACAGTGGTACGCCGAGCGCAAGGACGACGAGGAATACGAGAAGTACGAGAGCATGGAGAAGACTGGCAACGGCGGGCATCCGTCGAGTCCGACGGCGGAGAAGAACAACAACAAGAAGAAGCAATGAAGAGAGAGAGAGCTCTCGTTCGTTTCTCTAAAAGTTTTCATATTCTTACCATGTACGAGCCCAAGCTCTGGCGAGTCGGGCCAAGGGGTGTTAGTAGGTATTGGTGCCGTTTAGTAAACCGAAAAGAATTATGTCGAGAGTGGCTTCTTTTTGGATTTGGATCGTGGGTGGTCGGCTATTATTGAGATGTATGTATGAGCTGTTGATGGACGATTAATGGGAACATGGGAGAAAGAGTCATACCTACTTTGAGATGGGCTCCGAGACGCTTGTACGAAAAGTTGCCATGCTGCATCAAATGGGCTAGGTTTGAAATGTGCGCATATCAAGACGAACCGCGATTGGGTTCTCGGTTTTGACGTTTTAATCTCTGCCTTATTTACGTGGATAGTACTCGAGGTATTTGATTGGACCTCTGCTCTATCCTCGATATAAATAACTTGGAAGTAAATACGTTTTCCAGTTAGCTGTCACCCCTTTCTACGTGTAGTAGACAGGTACTTACATCTAAGTATCTGGCACATGAATGGACCAACCCCGGGATAGTTGCAAAACATGATATCACGTAAAAGACAACATATTTACCGATTAATACCCCAAAAGCATATAGAAGCGAAAGTATTATTAACCTATGCATAGGGCGCACCCAGCCAGGCACATAGTTAAAAAGACATAATAACAGCAAATCAAAGCACCCTCCGCCCCCTAATAAATACCACGAAGGTACCTTAGGTACCGAACCTACCTAACCGACCTATAAAATATACATCAATGCTCTGATCTCTGCGAAGAAGGGCGCCTATCGTATCGTATATCCACGGAAGCATAGTATCAAACTCGTCCCTCCTTTTCCAACCCATACCTAGTAAAGTCGATAAAAAAAAAAAAGCAAATGAACCTCCCCTCCCAACGCCGTACAATGCAAAACCCCGCCCGGCTTATTCTGCCTGTCTGCCTGCCTGTCCGCCCAGTGGTATCATGATAGAAGCGTCCCTCCCTCCCGAATCCTAGATTTTTTTTACTGGATGATGACAAAGGAAAAATGAAGATAAGCGATCGGCTTAGCTACCTAGCTTAGATGACGGAAAAGAAATATATGCCCGCTCTGCTATGCGTATCGTGAGGTAGGCAATGCTCGGTGGAGTGAGTCTTATCACCTCCATCTCGGCAGTTCATCTCCCAACCTCGCTTGCCCCCTGGTCGGCGTCGCGTTGCTATTATTATCAGCCCGCTGCTGGATAGTCGACCACGTCGTCACGGAGCTATCTGGCCTGCCGTCTGCCACCGTGCGCGGGTCCGCAAAGATATTAATACTCATGTCTTCGTCTCCGTTGTTGCCTCGAGCCCTTTCTTTGCCTTTGCCTTTCCCTTTGTTCTTTCCCTTTATAGTACCATCCCGTGCCGGCGTTAGGGTGACCAGGGGTGCCGGGACGTGAGAGTAATTGTTAGCACCACCCCCGCCGCCGCCGTTCTGCTGATGCGTCTTCCAGCCTGTTAAGCTCCGGAGCCCGCCGATCTCGGCCGAAGCGTGGTAGCTGCGCGGTGCGTCTGACATCTCGCTATCCGGGCGGCGGGAGTACGGCGAGTAAGGCGAGTTCGGCGGCATAAACCCTAATCCGCCATATCCCTCATCGGGCTTCTGATGACTGCCGGGCGACGCCACGGCCGTCGGAGACGACGGCGCGAAGCTCCGAGGCGAGCCGGACTGGGGCCGCTTCGCTAGGAAATCTATGCGCTCGTTCGGATACTTAGCATGAGGCACGGGCGCACTGATGATGTTGCCGAAGGATGAAGTCGAGTCGGGACGCTGCAATTGCTGCTGTCTCTGGAGCTGCTCCTTGCGCTTGTACCGCACGAAGATTACGGCTAGAATTACGAGGACGAAGCCGACAACACCTCCTATGACTCCCCCGACAATTCTCACGGTGTCGGCCGTGCCCGTTGTTGACGGCGCTGGTGCCTCGGTAACCGGCTCGCTAGGCGGTTCGTCGGTTGGCTCGGTGTCCGGAGCGGTAGGCGGCGTGGGCGACGTGGGAGGTGGCGTAGCGGACGTTATCTCGCTTACGGCCACAGTAGTTGTCTTAGATGTCGAAGGAGGCGAGGAAGTAGGAGCTGGTGCGGACGTGCTTGTGGAGCTTGGTTTTGTTTCCGGCTTCTGACTTTGGTCGGTGTTCTTCACACATATCGTGCCGTCGCAATGGTAACCAAATGGACAGCAAGTTCCCGTCCCGCACGTCTCAAGAATTCCATCGAGTGCCGTTGTCTTGATCTCAGCTTCTGGGTTTGTGACAGGATCTTGTAACGCGAGATCGCATGTTATGGGATTTATCTTGTTACAGGTCTTGCCTTCCGGGCAGCATAATACCGTCGTGTTGCCAGCCAGGGCTATACACGTCGTATTCGGTTCGCAACAGAAGTTGTCCGGCAGCCCGGATAATGCGCATTTCGTAAAGTCTGCGGCACAAGTGCTATCGGCTCTCTCGAGCAGGATATTCGGTCTGATATATGCGGCTGAAGTGGCCGTCGCAAGCACTACTGCGAGACGTAAAGCCCTTCGAGGGCCCCAGAGATACGCCATGGGGTGAGCAGTTATGATGAATACGACGTTTTCTGATTTTCTATGGGTGTTGTTACAATGCTGAGGTATAACTTAAGGAAATAAAAAGCCAGGAGATAATTATGTAGGTAGAATGAGAAATTGAAAGTAGGAAAGTATGTACTAGGACGTGACAGAAAGCAATATCTATGGTAGCAAAAGAGCAAATTCAATCACAGAAAAGTCAAGTCAGAGACTAAGATAGGCAGGGGTGTTGAGTTAGAAATAGTAACGATGATAACTAGGCGGAGACAATGAACACTTTCGAGTATTCAGTAGAATGACTATGAAAGGTGTGGGTGAATAGACGTGGGACAAAAGAGCGAACAACGCGACGGCCTAGCAATGACGAGTGAATTTTGATGCCCGGCCTATGAATCACCTTTCGTTCCTTGACATCTTTGTTTCCACTTTGTTCGACCATTGTTCGTTCCCTTGGCCCCCGTGGCCCGGACGGCATAGCTGGCAATCATTCTCGATCGCGTGACCTAAGCGACGACGATTTCTCTAGCCCAACAGATGCGACCTGATGGGGTGCTCGACATGACGCCCGATATAATGCGGCATGGGGGAGCGGGTGATCGACTGGACATCTTCAGCCAGAGATGACGAGATGGGTAGATTTAGATGCAGAATAGATCTGACATAGCCGCTACAGAAATTACGTAGCACTGCTCGTTCGAGTATACTGAGTGGACGCAACCACTCCTAGGCGAACAGGTATATGGTTCGCGATGAGGCAATGCGGGTATTAAGCGACGAAGCAACCGCCAAAACGAGAGGCTCTCGCGAGGCGAATCGCCCGTAGTCGTTTTCTTTAACGTCGTAACTCATTGGGCGGCTATAGAGGCAGAGGGGGCGCCAGTCACGGCGGTTGAGAAGGAGAAGAAGTTTGAAGTGTCTTATTGGTTGTAGAGCATTAGTACGACTTTCAAATTAGGCGCGACGAAGTGGGAAATACGTGTCTGATTGGCCAGCGCAGTTAAACTAAAACTACATAGTAGGGTTTTTCCTAATTTGGATCTGAATCTGGCAAATCTAGACGCTGATTGCGCGAATATATACAAACCCCTGTAAGACCCTGATAAAGATCTGCTAACTATATGTAGTTTAAATCCTAGTAAGCCCGGGGACCTGTTGTTGTTAGAACCTAGGTACTTGTGTACTTCACCCCGAGAGTTGCCGGTCGGCATTTTATAGAACCCGGGAGGCGCAGACCACCACCAGAATATGTATGTATTTCTCCCCTCTACATATACACTACCTACATGTTAGGACACAGAACCAACCCTCCGGGCCGCGATGCACCTAAATTATGACGATGTTGTGCGCCTCATTTCTTCAAATGCAACTCACACGAGCTCAAGAATCCGTCGGCGGGAGGCCTCATGCACAACATATTCGTTTACCAAGAGCCACAGCCCACGGATCCTCTGGACCGAGAGACCTGGTTCGCGACCTACCGCAGGGTTGTTGGTAGTATGTAAATATATGAAGCGAGGAACTACGTAGTTAGCAATTTTGCTTAGAGACCTATTTCAAGACCTCGATAGCGGAATACAACCCTTCCATTCCGTTCTCACTCTCACCCTCACCCTCACCCTCACCGAGGAACACATCATTCTCTCTCCTAACAACATCCATATCCTCGCTACGGTCATCCGTCCAGCGATACACATACACCGTATTCATACCGAGCGCCTTTGCCGCCCTGAGATCGTATGCGTGGGCTGCGACCATGACGGCCTCGTCCGGCCGGACCTTCACCAGCCCTAATGCTTTTTCGTAGGCCTCGGGCGCCGGTTTATAGACGCCTAGAAGCTCGCTGGAGAACAGCAAGCTGAAGATGCCTTCTAAGCCAGAAGATCGGACTAGGTCGAGCTGGAGCCTCGTCGTCCCGTTGGCGAGTACAAATAGCTCCAGCCCTAGCTTGTTCTTCAGCGCGGTTAGCACAGGGCGAACATCCGACCATGGAGCCATATTGTGCCACGAACGCACAGCGCGCTCGATAGTAGCCGTGCCGCCGCCGTCCGGGGCAAGGGCAACAACATCAACAATACCTGTAGACCCGCCGTGGTTGTCGAGCCCAACAAAGTGGCGGCGCTCTTCCTTGTAGACATCCCAACCCAGGATTCTCAGTAAAGTTTTTCGATGTGTGATGTCGATATCCTCAGGCGGTAGGCCCTGTTGGGACCGAGCGTGCAGCTCCTTAAAGAATTCCTCGCGCCAATCAAGCGCCAATCTGGAGCGGGTTGCCTCCGCTATGGCTGCCGGTAAAGCGTTGGCGACTCCGCTATGCCAATCTAGACACGTTCCCATAAAGTCGAAGAAGACGGCTTTGATTCGCCTCCCCTGCGTAGCCGACGGGGTCGTTGGTAATTCCTGCGCATGCGACATTGTACCTGCACAAGCTCGTGTTGCCCGGTTTTCTTATTTCTTATTTCTTATTGCAGAAGATTCCACCGCCGTTCCAAGTGACGATCCTTGCTTTAGTTATTACGGGACCGTATTTTGTCGGGTCGAGATGACCGGTGCGAAGCGGCCGACGGAGTTGCTACTATGTAGTACATAGTAGATGGACTCTGCGCGAGATCCATCAGTCGCCAGACCGCCTACACTATGCATGCATCAGCTCTTTTCGCTTGCCGCCGGAGAAGCAATCAATTAATCATCCATGGTCTCATTCTCGGCCGAAGATGACAAAATCCTGGTTAACCAACTCAATGTGCCGAAGAGTCCCCCCTGTCTAGTCCATAACACCAACACAGGCGCATTTTAGTATAGGTGAGGGTATTGTATTTTGCGTGGCTTCGCAGGTTTCAAAAGTTGGGAAGATGGGATGAAAAACAACAAGAACCATCTCAGCTCGTCAAGGGTAGAAGAACGAGTTGGCAATACGTCATGGATGCCCGAGGAGCAACGAAGCCTTGTCTAGCTGTCTAGGCGCATTGATTGTCCGCACAGCCTACTATACGATGCCCAGCAATGGTCGTCTAGATCTCTGGATTCGCGTGGTTTTGCGATCTACATGTGATGATGCAAGCAGTAATGTATACAGTGTTTTCGCCTATGTATGTTAGGTAGGTATGTTATGTAGTGCATGTCTTGAATTTGCCCTCATTCACGCGACACCACCGCCACCGTCTATCTGCCTTGCACTCGGTCTCAAGAGCATGCAAGCATCAAGCATCAAACATCAAACATGTAGGTACGTAATTTTCAAATACATATCAAATGCAGCTGAAAGTGAAACCCCACCGTAGCTCTCTCTCTCTCTCTGCGCCTTACACTAGGTACATACATACGTGATAAGGTGCCCGGACTGCAAGAAACCGAAAAAGCCTTCCTTCGACCGGGTTGCTACATGCGGTAAATTAGCAGAGAGCGGGCCGCCGCGCGTGGATGGACGGGTGAATGATCTACTGCATATGTGCCTACTACTAACCTACCTATACCTAACCTAACCTAACCTAAGTATGGAGCACACATAACTATGGAGAAGAAGAATAAGAATAGGTATGTAAGAAGCTAGTTAATTACTTAGATTTCTATGTATGTAGGTATGTAGGTAGGTATGTAAGTGAAACCGATGTGGGATCGCCGGTCGTTGGGGGCGTTGAACAACACCTGACTCATTGATCACGAGATCCATTCCCCTTCACCGCTCTGCATTTTATCTATACCTACCTACCTACATACGTAGTGTAGAAAGACGACCAAGATTTCCGGTGGAGTCCATAGGCGGCCCGGTAAGGATAGCAAAAAAATTTGCTCCGGGGTGCTGCGTGACGGTGTCCGGGGGGGCTTTTTTTTGGGTTCGGTTTCGCAAGTTTCTTTACATACCCAGCATACAAACATAGGTAGACGCTTGGTAAAGAAAGAAGAAAAAAGAAGGAAAAAAAGAAAGCTACCTAATTAAGCTGAATATCTTTTTGTTTAGTTGCGATTAATTAGTCTAGTTTAGTTAATGCAAGTATGAGTCAAAGAAATACGGGTTAATGTTAACAAATAGATACCTATAATTAGGGCTGCTAGGTTAGTTTACATATTGTACCTAGGTACCTGTTAAATCACCAAGAGAGATCCCAAGACTAAAACAATTATTTTGAATTTTGGATTTTTATTCGTTAACTGTGTTTGGTATTATGCTACAACCATGCGTACTTCTCTTCTCCTATCGCCCTTAGGGTTTTTAGTCCCCAAGAAACGCTGAGAGGCGAGGACAATCATAACGGTGTCCTCTATGTATGAACCTGTTTTGCCCCCTTTCCTTCCGGGGACAAAGTGATGATGCTAGGCCTTTATTTATCCAGAACCAAATGCTGAATCCATACACCCACCCTCTCCGTCTCCCAAATGGCTCGAATTGCCCAAAACTCCTATGCCCCCTCTGCCAATGCATGCAATGGTATATATAGAGCCAATTCCGACAATGCCATAAATACGTAGTAAAGGGAATCAAAGAATAAAAAAAATCGTCATTTCCTCGTAAGCCATAGCAAGGTTCATTACCTCCCAAATGTGACGGCCTATCTCCGCCGTCCACCATGTTGATATATCCAAGCTCCTTGATCTCCACCTATTCCAAGTGTCGTTCCGGTTGCCTTGCGGCATCCTCTCTCTCTATTGGGTATTATGATAGTAATAATGCAAAGAAAATATTGTTAGTCGACCGTAGTCGCAGTGCGAAGGGGGTGGCAATTTCCTGCATCGCCCCCAGAAGGCCACCCGCAGATGAGGAGAGGGGACTACTCTCCTCGAGACCAGCTTTGAGGGACATGATCCATCTAGATCAGCAGGTAGTCCCATCCCCTCATCTGCATAACGTCTCTCCAGGAGATGTAGGGCGCTTCTGTAGACCCGTTCGCACTGGGACTCGGCTGGCTGTTGTCGGCCTGCTGCCAGACCTCGTGCAGCAGCGTGACAACGCCACCAAAACTGCCGTAGTTAGAAGCATCGCCTAGCTGAGCGATGCGGTCGTTGAAGAACTGTCTAAAGCTAGAGTTTATTCCGCTGACGGATCCGCCGATTAGGTAAACCCAGGAGAGGCTTCGGTCGAAGCCACCGGCACCGGACGGAATAAGTTGCAGCACGGTAGTGAGCTTCTCGAC